TATATATATATATAAAAAAAAACTAGTAAATATATTCGTGCTTCGCGCGATTGTAAAATGGCTCATTGAATTTATGATTTAATCCTTTTCTGATATCTGAGTATTAAAAATAATTTAAAATATATTTGTGTAAACAAAAAGTTACTTTTAATTTTTCTTTCAAAAAATAATCTGGACATACAAGATTACATTTCAATCCATATGCATTCTGCATAAAATATAAACCAACTTAAAGAATTATATGAGAAACAAAAATTGTAGTCCTGCATCTCACATGTCCAAACAAAAAATACACACAATCCACCTTACGACTAAAACTACAATCCTTGGCTAAAAATTTGTCTCAAACAAAGAAGTGAGAATTAAAAGAAGTAATCACGATCGCGCAACAACAAAAAACCTAAAACAAAAATCATCTGAAAAAGAGTACTTAAAGTTCAATTGAAGATAAATGAGCAAGTAAAAGAGACTTCATATTAGGACTATGGCAAACTTGAAATACAAAACTACTTGCAGATAATTGAAATAGCAGTAGATCTTTAATACTTCAGTTGGTATACAAACTGCACTAAACTCCTTGTAAAAGTACATGAAATACCCCAATTTCCAATAGTTGATACAAGTAGCGCGGCCTATCTTTTCCCTAAGCAAGTAGGTCAAAAGCCATGGAAAAAAAAGATCAAATCCAAGTAGGACTCACTTTAAATGGAAGATACTCCAACTTGAAAGTTGCTAAATAATTTATCCTCATAAATCATAGAAACTGAAATTGAGCAAGTTAAACTATGCTTTTTTGGGATCGAAATTCAGCCAACTGTACATAATTTTTTACAGCCCCCTTCCTACAACAACTGGCTCCTATCATTCTATCAAATGAATTTCTATGACCATCACTGAGAGGGAGTTGGAGAACATCCTCTATACCAAGATTTCCCCTCCCCTCTCCTGGGGCAAAACGAAAAAGAGTAAAGAAAAACATGCTTTCCTTCTCTCTTCTACCCATTGGTCTACTTTTTTGTGTATTGTTCACTTAAATAAACCTTATATCATGTTTCTGCTGCTATGGTTAACGAAGATTATGTCTCTTTATATAGAAGAAATGTTATCCTTGACCCTTAATATTCTTCTATAATTTCACCTGTTTCTTGGCAAATTAAGGACTTTAAATAGGGACTTAAATATATCAATAATTTCATCCGTTTCTTGGCAAATTAAAGAATTCAAAAAGAACCAATATAATTGCAGATCTTTGGGCAACATCATAGAGAGATAGAAGCAAAATTGTCAAAAAAAAGGAGAAAAAAGATAAATACAATTGTTGGACATAGAAAGGTGCCACATCATCTTTCTCATTCCCAACTTTATATTTACATAAGAATTCAATTCTACTTCATCACAATTTTTAACCACAAAGGCTCTAGAAGAATGTGCTAGTTGAGGTTTGAACCTTTGACCTCTTAGAGCAAAATTAAACACATAACCAACACGCCAAGAAACAATTTATGTCAAATGGTGTCATTTTTTCCTACTTATCCGTTTTCATGCAGTATTAATATATATATTTAGTAAAATTTTCCGACAAAGCGGTGTCGCGTGACACCACTTCGGTAAGCATGCATCCACCCCTGAATTTGGGTATGTAAACAAATGATGCCTCTCGTTGATGGCTTGAGCTTTTTACATATGTGTCCGTGGGGAATGAAGTTGATGTCTGAATNCCCCCCACAAACACACACACACACACAACACACACCCAAAAAATATACTAAAAATATATATTTTTTCGGCTATTATTTTGAGAGCGGCTATACAGTGTCATTTTTCCTTTACACATCAGATGACCAAACTTTTCACCGAGGCTTCTTTAACACCCAAGCATTAGCCAGAAACTATTTCATCATCTGTAAATCAGGAACAACAACAATGAATTGACTAAGGAGGAGATATCTTTTAACTTGTAGCTAGCATAACAGGCTACTAAGTAAATAAGCATTACGAGAGGCAAAATTGTCTCTTGGCCACTTAAACTTGCATCCAACCCGGTAAACAAACTTATAATTTTCCCATTTGAACACCTCAACTTGACGGAATAAATACTAATAAACACATCCAATCGAGTGTGTATATCAATTGCGCTGACATGTCAAACACGTCATATGCTAAACCATTTATTGCTTGACATGTGTTATTTGTGGACCCCACTTTTAAAATTAATTTATCAAATTTTTATTTTATTTTTACTTTCTTCTCCACTCAAACACTCCCCCCTTTTCTACTTCTCTTCTTATTTCTGTTAAATTCAATTAAGAATAAAATTTGAGTTTTGACCACTAGAAAACTCCAATGGCCGCCACCTCCAGTTCGCTGACGACCAACCACATGGAATTCCAAAATTGATTTTTGCTTTGTTTTTGCCTAATTCGAAAATTGGCACGCAAGTTTTGGATTCTTAATGTCCCTCTCAACTATACCCTTGACTTTAAGTAAAAGAATAGCTTGGGAGAAAATTGAAGGGTGCTTAGTGACACTGAAATTGTTGGGTTTGATTCAAATTGGTTTTTGAATGATTGGAGTTTTTCTTCTTCAAGTCCCTGCACTTGCAAGTTATTTTGCTTAATGTATTCTCAAATTCTCCTAACAACGTTGTACCGTAGCAATTCAATCTCTCATGTACCAAGAAACTTCACCAGAGCATCAGAAAACTGGATAGGAGCAAGAATTCCTGAATTGTGCCGCTTTTCCTTTCTCTTTGGTTCATCTGAATCTATGAGAGAAACGGGATTTCATGCTCAAATGCTCAAGTTGTTGAGCTCAATCTCTCTACTGCAGACCTTAGTTGGGGGGTTGGCACACAATGGTCGAGGAAGAAGGGGGAAAGGGTGTACTGGTAAAGAAAGGGATGGGATGGGGGCCTTTCTTTCTTTTTAATTTATTATTTTTTTTCCTAATTGTAAAAAAAAATTAATCCAAAATTATTGTACTCACGCGCGCTAATTATGTGAGCTGCACGCACTTTGTCCATGTCACATGTGTTCTTGTCACATAAGCATAATCAATGGTCAAAAGTGTTTACTATTTCACATATGCGCGAGTTGAGATGTTCAAATGGGAAAGTTGTAAGTTTCTTTACCGGGTTGGCAATTGGGTGCAAGTTTAAGTGGCCAGGAGGACATTTTGCCTTACAAGAAACACCAAACTTTATCAAGCATAGAAACAAAGTGAGCTCGAGTTAGCAGGCTCATGGATTTCCATTATACATAACCAAGAGTTAAGAGGTATTTATCGCATCTTAGCACTAAATCCTCTATAAAGCATTCAGCAACTATATATGCTGTACAAGGAGTAAATCAACTTTAAAACGGTATATCAAAATGCTCACTTATGCATCAGAAAAGATGTAGCTAGGTACTGTCAAAAATATGTGAAGCCTAAATGGAGATATAGGATAGACTTTTTGATGAAACACATTTTCCAAAACATTGCCAGATAATTATGCAATAAGTAACCAGGTAATCACCATCAATAATGTTAAAACATCTCCTATAAACAATAGATTTACCTTTCATCGTCATCGAACTGACAACAATTGCTCCGTACTCCAGTTAAGAGGAGAAAAATGCCTGCAGATCAAAGATGCCTCAGGCTGACCAGTTCGATATCAAATATGACTGTCCCCAATGTCGCGCCTTCTCCATTTGCAAGACGGGTTGGATTAAAAATGGTAGTAAAAAGCCTCTGCCGATCAAAATACTGAAACAGGGACAAAATGTTCGCTAACTCAAGTCCCCAATGAAATACATTGATGAAATTAAAAGTATATCTAATTTCTTTCTATAAAGAACTAAAAGCAATACTAATCTCGGTTTCAACTCCAAATAAATACAATCAATCAGTTCTAAAGACCTTTCTACTGCGGATTTTAAAAATGACTGAATCATCCAATGGAAAAGGGCTGGAACAAGAAAACTCCTAGCTCTAAATAAGTTTGAATGTGTCAAAAAATAATAATTTGGATGCTCCTCGTTCCCAATTCAGTTGACCTACTTTCTCATTTAGTCTATCCCAGTTTGCAAGACCCCTTAGCCATAATAGCAAAACCTTCCATCTCCGAAAAAACCAAACAGGCCACCCCATGCACATACATCTTAACTATTATTTGAAGCATAAGAATAAGAATCTCCAATGTGATAATACAAATTTGTTTTTTCTCTAGTCACTAAAACTAAAAATCGTAAAAGGGTTGTAATTCAAAACATGGAAGGTGGTATGATCTTACTATATCCAAAAGAGCAAAGTAATTCTTGCACAAATTTCCCTTATGAAAACTCCCTATCTAAGATGTAATGCCTTATCTAAGAAAAGGGTAAAAGTTCAATAACAGAAACATATATCAGACAGGAAAGGGAGATTAACTACATGATTCCATGCCTTTTACTTTCCAAAACCCAAGTCTGGTAAGTACCCCACGCTTAATTTATGTAGAAAGAGCATCTCGAATTCAGAAGACTGACTAGAATTCCCTATCAAGTCTCTCCAAAAGAATGCGACTGAGTAGGACCAAATATAGATTATAAAGGAAGAAGAGCAACTTCACACATTAGGTGGCAGGGGTTCTTGGGATGCATTCTGATATCCTTGAGATGGTGGTATAATAACTCGACGAAGGCTGCCTACTTTCATCGATCTCACAGCACTTTCAATCCCTGATATAACCTGCAATAAATAGATAGACAAAGATGTGGAATTAATTGCTACAGTTTTATTTGCTATATATAATTGTTATATAATTTAGTAGGTCCGGACAGTCAAACGGATACTACTTCAAAAAGATTGAGAAACAAAGAATTTAATATAGAAAAAAAGAAAGAAGATAAATTCATATCAGAGGGAAAAACTCAAACGAAGATAGAAGCAAATTGAAACCAACCAAAACAAGGATAGTACACCGGCTGTGAAATACCAAAAAAGTAAGGGAAACCAGACAAGGGAAATATCTCATTTGAATATCCACTACAATTAGAAAATGTATTCGAGATAGGTAGAGTTGGGAATTGACAACATCAACTAGTGATCTTTTCTAAAGTAAAACAAAAATAACAAATTTTGGTTTTACAGTGATAATCTGAAATTCAGAAGAAAAAGATAAACATTCAACATCGTCCTTTCTAATCATATTCTCCTCTTGGATACACCTTACTCTGAACCTACTTTTGAAGTTTACCTCAGTTGTAGTCCTCACCTACCCTTCATTGTTCTTGCAGGCTTGGCAAATCTCATTAGTACTTGTTCCATCATGACCTCCACACTTCCAGAACCTTCTTCCTTTCCCTTCAGCAATGCTGGACAAGTTTTTCTAAATGCATTTACTTTTATCTTTTTCCCTCATCATGCTTCTGTTAAGCATTCCAAAACAACTTTATCAAGTAGTAATCTTCAATTGCTGTAGGTGGTGCCAGAAGCTAAGGTTTTCCACTTTTGTATGGGATGCTAGAACTGAAGGATCGCAAAAAGGAAGGAACATTGTAGCAGTAACAAGACTAGAATCAAATAGCCTAGAAACATCAATTACTGATGTTTGGCATATTTCGATATGTGTTGATGTTACTTTACCCATGTTTTAACCACTTC